CCTCCTGCACTGACATTTGGTGGGATCAGCTGGAAGTCGTTCAAAGATGCAGCTACCTGAGTAGTAGTATAGGCGATCTTGAGATCGAAGACGGGATCATGAACACTATAATAAAATCTCGAGGCGCTTTTACTAACATTCCCAACCTGTGGCGCCGGCGCGACTGCACTCTCCGGCTGAAGGGTAGAGTGCACGATGCAGTCGCCCGTTCAACCACTCTGTATGGCTGTGAAACCTGGCCCATTAAATTGCCTGAGGCAAAATGGCTAGTTACGTTCGACAGCCGGTGCCTTCGCAGTTTGACTCTATCTAGTGGGAACACTACGTGAGCTACGAGCCTGTTCGACGCCTTGGTTATGGCACAGAAAGAGGAAGTGATCCGCTCAGCACCATTATATCACTCACCAGGCTTCGATGGCTGGGCCACGTGTTGTGCATGCCAGCCCACCGACTCCCACGACATGCGTTGTTTGCGCGCCGGGGGTGTGGATGGAAGAAGAGGGGCTGGCCAAGCGGTGACATAATCGAGAGGAATGAAGGCCCCCACTTCTAAGCTGGCCTCGGTTGGAGCGTCTCGGCTCCCTGGTTGGGGTCCGAAAAACGATGAACAAGTTTGGCTGGATACACTTGCTGATATGGCTAGGAGCCGACCTCAGTGGCATTCGTGCTGTGAGTTTCTTTGTCCCATCACATCCTCTTAGCCTCCCCTCCAACCACGATCTCACTATTTGGCCTTATATAATGTTGCATAGTAGTTGGCTGGTAGCTTACCGGTAGCTTACCTGGCTTGCACAAGTTGCATTTTGTCTCCTTTTTTCTGTGTATTGCGGCACAGTAGCCGACGTGTTTTCCACTAGTTAACGTGTATAATGATGATGATGTTCGGTTGTTTAGAGACTGGTGCTGAACGGGCTGCTGGTAATACACTTCAGTAAGATAGAATTACGATAACATTTGCTATCGCATTTGTGCTGATAGTTCTTTCTACTACTGAGCCTCCTAACGTGGTCGCCACTTTGATAAAGAGCACTGTGTATTTCCAAATTAGAAACTAGAAGGGACAGTATCGTCTTGGTGACTTCCGAAGTTACAAACGCTTACAGTTTAGCGCGGATAGTTTACATACGCTCAGTTTAATCGTTCTCACTTTATCCAAACCGCGCATAACACCTTTGTAAAAGAAATCGTGCACTTCGATTTAGACATACACAAGTACACATTTGTGTACACATCTCTGTTGTGACGGGAGGCCAGTTATTCCATCATTCCTAAATGAGCCTGATCAGACTTTTCCTGCGGTTTATCCAGGTGACCTAACGGAACTAAGTGTTTCTTCTGATGGTCTGTGGAACTAAATTCCTTTTACCAGACCTTTGTGATCCGTGTAAGGTCCTCATTACAATTAGTTCTTGCATCGGGTCTATTGTTGAGGCTGGACCATATTTAAAGTTTAACTGCCCCTGCATTCTGATTATGGGTCCGTTCTGTTGACAGCATTAGCGATGCCCCGAAGACATGGATGCACGAGGTTAAACAATTTATCTAATACTAGGTGAGCTCTAAATTTTCATTACTATAGCCATGATACAATATCTGCGTTAAATCGGTCTGATTTGCATGCGATAATGGTGAAACTCAAGAGAAAAATCAGCCCGTTTGATGTCCCTGCTGTCAACGCTCATCAGCACGTATGGTAGTTCGGGCGGTGCGTTGGCTGGGTTGTACCAGGTATAAATTGCAGATAAGTTCACTGAACCGAAGTGTTCAGATAACAGGGTCGCAAGGTTACGGCACAGCAATGAACAATGAACGATGATTCATGACAGGCGAAAAAGGCGATCTCTTAACAAGTCCCGTAGAATGATCAGAGTACGGACGTTGAAACCAATGGTAAAAATAACATGGAAAAGGGAGGAACTTCGAGTTTTATGTGACTCAGCAAACCATTCACATGAACATTGTTGGTTTCCTCACCATGTTACGGAAATGGTCGGCGAATTACTTCGTCTCCTGAATGAAACGGACAACAGGTCCATGAACACTATGCATAACACGTATCGCGAATGGGATAAGGTGACATCGAGACGCATTTTGAATAGCCTTAATGTTAGGGCCAAAATGTTGTGAGTTTGAATGGCGTTCCTTGTTCTGGGTTCTCAAAGGACCTGAATGTTTGATTTACAATCAAGTCGACTATGGTGCGTAGACGGTTTGAGCTGGTGGCCTCTCAGATTCGTATTGAGGCTAAGTTGCAGCAGGTCGCAACAGGCGTGCTTTGGGTCTGACAGTATTAAGTAAATCATGATGATGTCAGCCGGATGACGCCGATATTCGCCGCTGTACATTAGCAAAGCTTTCAGTCTGTGTCGGTAGGAGACATAAAACGAACCGCTAACGAACTTGATCGCTCTACCTTGTGGAACTTCAAGCGCATCCATTTCGTTTTTTCACCAATGACGCAAGGCTTAGTTCAGGTACCTCGCTTGGGGCCTCATGTAGCCGTTCAGCAGTTGCAGAGGGATAGGTGGCTCGAACTTCCTGAAATCCCTCCGTAAGAATCTGCTGCTGATTAGCTCCTCTCGTTGCCTCTTCAACTGGCTTCGAGCAGCCAAGGTCATCCTGCACGATTGCCTAGAGGTCACTACCCTGGTATGCATGTTGCAACTGCTGGCCACCAAGTCGATATTCGTAAGTACGCTGATGGCGAATACCCACAACTTGGCATTTAGCCACGTTGAACTGCAACTGGTTTTCGGATAATGATGTATAGACCCTGTCGAGATCATTATGCAGTGACAAGTTATCGTTCTCTGTCTTGATGTCATAACAAACCTTGAACTTGTCTGCAAATAGTAAAAAGTGTAATTGGAACACGCTGGCACGATTGAGTCTGGGAACAAGCGTGGTCCTATTACCCATCCTTGAGACACATCACATGGAATCCATCTGGTTGGGAAATGGAGTGTGCTGGCTCTCACATTCAGCTGAGATTGAATTTGCAATTTGCTTTTCCAATCCAATCCCGAACTCAGACACCGATTCCATAGCTTCGGAGCTTATAAAAGAGAATGTGGTGGTCCAGGCGATCAAACGCTTCGGAAAATTCCGGGAGGACGACGTCGACTCCTACCCTGGCATTGACTGATTTTGTTTAGCTTGCTCTGGCTAGCAGCAAGTTTGTAGTGCAACACCGCTTTCGGCGAAATCTTTGCTGCTGTGACATTATGATGTTGTTGCTCTCAAGCTATTCCATGAGCACCTCTGCAATAATACACTCCGTTAGGTTGGATGACATCAGGAGAAGTGTGATTGGACGGTAGTTCGAGGGTTCCATGCGATTCTCACTCTTGTAAATAGGATTGACCATTCCATATTTTCACTTGGTCGGAATCTGTTTTTCCTCAATGTATCGTTGCAAGAACCGAGCTAACGTTTCTGCGATGTTCATGGCGACCGTCTTTAGTGCCTTTGATCTTGTGTCGTCCACACCAGGGGAACTGTGCATGCACAAAAACGGTAGTCTTTTCCTCACATTTGTTGCCGTGAACAGTACACGACTTAATCTTGGGGGCGATGGAAGCTGTGTTTGAAGCGGGTGAGAAGACTAGTCACTATGGAAATTGGGGATGTAGAGTTGCCTAAGCGCATTGGCTACATCTTGTGTAGTTAGCGCCGGAGCAAATACACCACGTAGGAATAGGCCTTCACGCCGCACTCTCCGGTGCCACTTGTTGGACCAGCACATCGTCCTGGGATTAATGCTGAATTTCATCACTAACTCCTGTTGGTGCTGGAGTTTGTCTTCACGGATCAGATTGACGCAGTTGTTTCGTTGTTATGTAAGTACCGCAAGCCTGCCCATGTGGACAGGCATTTTGAGTTCGCCAGGCTGAATTTCTTATAGGCATGTATTCTCGAGTCCGGCTTCTCAGGAAGCTGTTCGTGTGTTTCGGGGGAAAGACTTTGGAGTCCGACGCATTTACCACTAGCTTGGTGAACTGGGTAACAATTTCCTTCTGGGCGACGTATGCAGGCTGCCCGGCTAGGAAGGACTAGTTTGTTTATTGGACGAGGTTGAATGGGATGTAATAATGTGTAACCACGCGGTTTTCCTCGTCGCATACACGCCGCATGCACGCTACGGCCAAACAGTGCATCTATGTTTACGGTCCTGACCATTGGTTACTGGGCACATTGTCTGAAACAAGTGTGGAGCATGATGTTTAAAGCAGATGATTCATCACCTGAATCACATGGTAGAGGTGACATGGTTGTACAGCGGTACATCGGCGATTAGTTCTTGCAGATCCGCTTTAAATGGTTCGCTGAAAGAAGCAGGAATAATCTATCTTCTCAAGTACAATCATTGCTCGAGTGGAAGGTCGTTGAGGAAGTGGGGGCCGAGGAGAGTTCAATTCCATATTTGCACTCTGTTTCTTCTGTGCCAGAAGCATAATTTTATGAGCGTAGTTTAAATGTTTGTGAAAGCACTCGATTACTGGGGTCTTTGGAAAGCACTCAGATTCCGACTGGAGAGTCATTTTGTAGTCCTCCTTGGATTGCTATCAGCAATCGCAGTGTGGACCGTGGTTGGCATTGAAACGAACCTTGTCCATTTCGATCACTAAGACCGTAGTGGAATGCACTGTTTTCGTGAAGGCAACACCCAATTTCCGTACACCCAAATCTCGCTTGTACAATTTTCGTCTCGTGATTTGCTGCTAATTCTTCTGCTGTTTCTCGTTTCTACCACAGACTCACCTGAGCGCAAGCATGATGTTGCTATTCCATCTAATTTACTCTGTTTGATTTGCTGACGGTATTTTTCATCCTTAGTAAAGTACATTTCTGTATGTTTGTTTGCAGTTCAGCAATGCACAAAAAACACGGCATCGGGTGAACCGATGTTTTCACATCCCACCGCAGTCACGTTCACCACGACGGTTTCAGTGGTACCTTTCACAACGTGCTCCCGTTTTATGTTCCACTACATTACTCAGGTATTGATCAACGTCGTCGGAGCTCTGGGTGAAATGGCGAAAGACACAGCCAACCGAACCGCAATCCGAAAGGCGGGTGGGATCGGACCGTTAGTCTCCTTGCTGACGCGTACCAACCAGGATTTGCTGATAAACACCACTACAGCCATAGGAAGATGTGCTGAAGAGACCGAAAGCATGAGGTACGCACAGACAATGTTTCACATTTGGATTTTGAAGCTTAAGCTGAGAGGCAAACCAGGTTGTGGAACCGGTGCTGACCAGATATATGGCATACTTCTATCATATATACTCGTAGCCCCCGTCAGTAGTTAGCACTACGTACGGACTTGACAACTCCAGGTAATGCTTTTGCACAGAGCCTTTTAGTCTAGCAAACACGTTACGGGATCGCGACATACAATTAGCTCTCAGCTTTGATTTCTCCACCGGCCCAATCACCACCCCACTATGTATGGTGTACTGCGGCTCTTCCACGACTAACTTATCAAGGACAAGATTTGACACGAAGCTGTTAGCCACTCTAGGGTAATAGCAGTCGGAGTAAAACCAAAAAATCGTTTCTCATTCTTTAATCGCAGTTCGTGTCCCTATCTTCTCCAATATTTTTTCTTCTGCCATGGTTCTGATGGCACAATGTCTGTTAACTGACTGTGAATAAATATAAAAATATACCAGCCAGTTCGGTCAAGTACTGCAGTATATTACCTAATATAAACCGTTAATTTTCAGATAGTTTTCATTTCTGTAGAGGTGCATCAGCTTATAGAAACGGTATACGTTATCTGAAAGAGCCATTCGAAATCCAACCAGCAAATCACTACACATCTCGGCCCCTATCTCTACGTAGCACCATCCGCTTGTGACGAACGGGATTCGATACGGAGATTCGAAGCGCCTTATTTCTTCCTTCAGTGTCTACACAGTACCACGGGCAGTGTGCATATAAGTGGACACGTTACTTTTGTGGTGAAAATTCTCCATGCGTTGCACATTTGACATTCGGACGGATGGCAGTAACAGAAAGATAAGGGAATATACCGAATCGAACATCATCGCACACACAATAACATGGAAAGAACATTCACTTTAAGGCCAGTAGCATATCTGCATCGTTTCTATTGGTACATTTTTCATCTTTCCACGGTGTTGGAAGATCGCACAATATGAAAGCACCTTCCCTCCCAGCTGGATCATGTGGCGTCACGTTAACGCTATCTTGGATGGCGAATCAAAAGCGCCACAAAAACTGACCAATAGTGGAGCAGATTTCGCTTGTTCACACTCACTTATTGATGACGTCAACATCGTGGAAGAACAATTTCCTTTCTCTTTTCGCTGCGTTGTTGGGGGTGGGCTTATATTCGGTAATATACGGTACTTTAAATGAACTCACGTCTTCTGGGCCTAACATCGTCCTTTGCACTGCAGCAACTTATGTCAATGCAAGCTGTGAAGTTGTTGATGTGGGTTCCGGACTCTGGTTGAGGAGTTACGGCTAGCGGCCTCCATAGTGTTAGACTTCCACTTAGCCCCTGCATTATTCAGAAGCTCCTGTAATAGCTGCCCCTGCGATGTCTTCCGTATCATACCTCATGCAAACTAAGTCAAGAAAGTGCTGTGTATACACTTAGCGAAAAACATCCTGTTAAAACACGCTTTCACACACGTACCCTTAGTAGGGTGAAAATCTATCTCTCGCATGACTCATAATAAAGTAAGACTTGCACAGCTGGACGGGGTTGATGATGGTCTATCGATTTGCCGAGCCGTCGCGTGGAATAAAGGTTCTGAACCAGGCAAAAACCTCACCAAATAAAGGATAACTGACGAACAAGGGCTCCATGTGTGGGTGGCTATGGACTGTAGTTTATGCCCTCAGTGGAAATGCATACACTTGAGCTGACTGGCGCTAAGGCTCCTTTGCTGTTGTCAGTGCATTTCTACATCAAATATTATAATGAAACGCGTATAAATTTTCAAACCTATTATCTGAGGTGACACAAGGTGACTGCCTAATGCGGGAGGTTACATGCAGCAATAAGACAGCATCAACTGGAGGGAAGGAGTTGGTTATTCGAGAACCAACCGATAACTTGACTGATAACTTCCCGATTTACGAGAATGTGTTATTTCCGCGCTTTGATCATACTAGTAAACAACCCAGTGAGCTTCTAAATGTTGCACCAAACTGCATGAGCACCGTCTCTTATCAGCAATGGAAGGTTGACGAATTTTTGTTGACAAACTCCCTGTATTCAGAGGAGAAGTATCTGCTTATATTTTCAAGTATTCAAGTTCCCAAGATATAAATAAATAAATAAATAGTTTATTCTCGTCACTGCGAGGCACACCATCAAGGGCGTGATCATGGTATTGCAGACATGTATGATGAACAATTGCACAAATTAGTACATTTTGACCAATAGCATGGGAATTTATGTGTGTGTTGAGATGTAAAACTATGTTTAACTGTGTATTTGGAAGGGGACATGTTTTGTGAGTAGGTAAATGTGACTGTGTGTGTTTTGTTTGTTGTGTTTGCCACCAAAGGGGGAATCAATGGAACGCTTTGAGTCAATTGACGTCCGTGATGTGTGAATAATCCTCCGGAAAAGGGAAGAGGCAGTGACTTTATTTAGTGGCGAGTCACATCCGCTACGTCACAGTGTTGTTAAACGGATACTTGTGGCTTTTTGTAGGGAGAACGCTTGCCAGGCGAAATCCCACCACATCCTGGAACACTGCCGCCGAACCATTTGCTGGAACGGGATTTACCCGAACCACCCAGCTGGCACCACGAGCAGGTTGTTCGGCTAGCCAGCCAAAAGTCCATCCATTACAACAGGTGTTAACTCGTGCGCTGTCTAAATATCCTGGTGTACTATGGGACGCTGAAGGATCTAGGTATTGTTTTATTATGTGTTTTCAATCCAGTAGGTTGGGGTTCAACACTCAACTGCTTGTAAATGTCTCGTCCACTCGTGTGAATATACGTCCTGGTGCATTCCTATGAAAAACTGGTGCAGTATTTTTGAAGTTTCATCAACTTCCTTGAACTTTGTGGGATTGGACATGACTGAGAACCGTCACCGAAACTTGATAGCTATAATGCTTCTTTCGGTGGTACTGCGCAGGACCCAAGGTACTAACCCAATTGCTCGTAATGAGGTAGAATGCACAAACTGAAGAGAAAACTATCACATACGTTGCTGATGACTGGCGATTGCGTGTGCGAAATAAATAAGTTTGGTATCCGGGTCTATTCTACCAGTTAAACATGAAAAAGCATCAGCATTACGCCTGTACCGACACTCCCATGCCGTTCAACCACCACCAATCGACGTGGGCTGAGGATACTGCGAGGATCGCCCTGTCCACTACGCAAGCTCCAACCCGCGCCCTCGGATTACATGGCAGGCTTGTGGCCCCTAATGCCACGGACCGGCAATGTGCCTGTCGAAGGAGCGTGTTTGTACTTGTAGTATGGTTGGAGTGACTTACACATTATCATAAGAGGCATCGTCTGGCGTTGTGCTATCAACTTTAGCAACATCATCTAGGAGGTGGCTGAAGTCGTTTCTTCTAATGCGAAGTCACTTCGAAGGTGGGCCGAAATAATCCAGATGCATTATTGGCCAGATCACTTTGAAGCAAGTGTCAAGTGCATGGATTGCGAAGCGCCATCTCAATCAGGCCAGTGATTCACATCAAAGTTAATTTAAAAACATGAATATTGGATGTTGGTCGCCCGAAAACATTGCATCCGACAACTGCTTTCCAAATTACCTAATCTCCTCGGTATGTTCAGTCACCAAGACCGCATCTATAGCAGCTGAGTGTTCGTTGTTACCCGCAGTGCTGAACTAATATTCGACCCGTTTTCTGTTCTTGGATATTTGGGCAGCTCGACTCGAGAAACCAATGTCCATTGCTAACCTATCCAAACACGTGTTGCTCCCCTGTGTTGTGCAACTATCAAGAGGCCATCAACCCCATCGCTTTTTGCACTGATGTGAATGCTACCGCCCTGTACTTTCGCCACTTTGACAACACTGGCGGGAAAGATGTCATACGGTGATCGGACGTGGTACGGAACATGCCATGCGTACGCGCCCGACGGCAATGGTTAGGTCATCCGTATGCGGTCTCCTGTTACATCTTCCGGTCGCCTGCATAATTGGAAAGATAGGACCAATGGTCTGGTTGCTAAGGTAGTACATGGCATGATAGATACCACCAGCGCTGAACCCAGAAATTAGTGGGCTGTCCCAATCAAAACGACCGAAAATATTTCGAAATGCATATTCCTCTCTTCTATTTCACTTCGCCGGTTCATAACCTTAAAGATCACAAGCCAACTTTGTAATCCGAAGGCGCGGGTTCGAGCCTGCGTACTGGACAGGGCGACGCTCGCAGTATCCTCAACTTGCACGCAACTGGTAGTAGTTGCGCGGCGTGGAAGGGTCGGTACTGCGTATCGGCGTACTGCTGATGCCTTTCCTTTCCGCCTGAGTTTATATCGTCTTACTGACTCATACTGGTTACACTCCTCTACTCTTCATGGAGTCCCCATATTAAACCCTCCGAAAAGGTGAGTAATAATATCGGTTTCCCAGTTTACTTGAACGCTTAGGCTACTTTATTTCACCCAACATGTTCTTAGCTGCCAACTCACCTGATGAACTATTTCAGGATGGCGCAAAATATCTAAGAATTGGGGTCAACATGCACTCATGCAAGAACAAGATCATTTGTGTACATATTTTTTGTTCCTAATTTAGGAACGGCTTCTCACACTTTCGAGAAATTACGTACATATATATATATATATATATATATATATATATATATATATATATATATATATATGGATTCGCTGCATCCGTCTGCGGATTTGCCTGTCACTGTGGCCTCCATGAGGACAGCACAGGATGCCTGCGCCCACAGTGGGACCATAGGTGCCTTGCGATGCACCGCCCACAGTTTCACCCGCACACCCAATATCCAGTGTAAATCCGAACAAATAAGACCGGGAGGCATGTGGATGGGAGCCACGTTACGTCAACGGAGCCGGCCCACACGCCTTCAACAAACAGAACAGAAGCATTCCGGCCTGATTGGAAAATCATGCACACCAGACGTACGTAAGGTGGTGACTAGGCCGTAGCCCGTTCCACAC